GGCAAGTATGAGTGGTGTAGTCAGTGTAGTGGTGGCAAGTATGAGTGGTGTAGTCAGTGTAGTGGTGGCAAGTTACAGAGGGCGCGCGTGTATCACACACGCACGCACGCACACACACGCACGCATGCACGCACGCACGCACGCACGCACGCACGCACGCACGCACGCACATACACAGCCAGGCACTGCTGACAACCACGTGTAATTTTGGATGGACGTGGTGCGCTGTGAGAAACACCACTACACCACTCATACTGACTACACCACTCATACTGACTACACCACTCATTAGCTGGAACGCTGGTCTGCTTGTCTACTGGAGGCTCGCTGCCTGCCTGGCCTGCCTGCCTGCCACTTAGCTTTACGTTTCCGGGAAGGAATGTGAAAAGTAAGGTCTCATTGACTAGCGTACGCGCGAGTTCACTGTGTAGCGAGTACAAAGCTCAGTCGCTGTGTGCGGGTAGGAGGAAGGGAGGCAGGCAGTCCGGCCTGCTGAACTGTTATTGATTAGAGCATTTACTGCACATGAAAGTGCAATGCGAGACTAGTACTAGTAGCAGAGAGTGAGTTAGGGAGATTGGCGCTGCCAGCTTACAGTAAGCTAACGAGCTTATTTGGCTAATGTTGCTGTTGCAGTTAGTAAAATAGGAGGCAATTGCTGTGTCTCAACAGTCAACGTGACCCAGAAATCATTGTGACCCTACAGCGAATGTGACCTAGAAATCAGTATGAAACCATATTATAATAACCTAGCATATACACTGACAAGCTACATGATGGAGTGATGTTAGTAGTGCCTTCATTGTGAAGCCCTCGTATCTCTTTCTGATCCCACTGTTTTCGTGTGTCACGTTCTCAGTGTCCAGCAGGTTCTCATTACTTATGTTGTTCTTTATGTTTTTTAGGTTCTCATGTATCGTGTTGTTCTCGGTTCTCGTCTGTCATCTTCTGTACATTCTCGTGTCTCTTGTTGTACTTGCTGTTTTCTAGGTTCTCGCATTTCATGATGTTCTTCATGTTCTGTAGGTTGTTGTGTCTCATGTTGTTCTTGATGTTCCGTAGGTTCTCGTGTCTCATGATGTTGTTCTTGATGTTCCGTAGGTTCTCGTGTCTCATGATGTTGTTCTTGATGTTCCATAAGTTCTCGTGTCTCATGATGTTGTTCTTGATGTTCCATAAGTTCTCGTGTCTCATGATGTGGTTCTTGATGTTCCATAGGTTCTTGTGTCTCACGATGTTGTTCTTGGTGTTCCGTAGGTTCTCGTGTCTCATGATGTTGTTCTTGATGTTCCGTAGGTTCTCGTGTTGGACTTCGTTCATCGCGATGTTGAACGAGACGAACGACCTCGCGGGTCAGCACGAGGTCATAGCCGAGAACCTCACATCTTCCATAATCAAAGAGCTGTTCGGCTTAGTCAAAGAACTGAAGGAAGAACGAAAGCGGGTGAGTGCGCTACGTAGAGAAAGATCGATTAACAGAGAGAGAGAGAAAGGGAAGGTGGGAAGACGGACGTAGAGAGAAGGGGGGAAGGGAGCAAGAAACAAGGGGAGAGAGAGAGTGAAAGAGAGGGAGAGGGAGAGAGAGAGAGTGAGAAAGAGAGAGAGAGGGAGAGAGAGAGAGAGAGAGAAAAAAAAATTTAGTGCACGAGAGAGAGAGAGAGAGCGAGAAATTTAGCACACGAGAGTCAGAGAAAGCGAAAGAAAAATGTGCGTATGTGTGCGTGGATGAGTGAGTGAGCGTGTATGTACGTGTACTTGTATGTGTGCATACGTACATGCATGCCTGCACGAATGTGCGCAAAAGAGAGAGAGAGGGGGGGGGCTTAAGGCAAGATGCTGTGGTAACTAATGAACTGCTGCGGCGTCAACTATGACTGCTTGGTCAACATCACTACTCTGATGGTCAACTACTGACTGTCCGTGGTCAGACTATGACAACTGTGGTCAATCGTAAATGACTGCGTGTGTTCTACTAGACTCCGCTGCGGTCACGTATGACTGCTCGCAGTCAAGCTGAGTCACTACTGGGTCAACCATATGACTGGCCGCTGGGTCGACTATGAACAACTGAGATGTCCAACTAGGACCTACTGTGGTGCAAGCTATGACTGCGCGCGTGTCAACTATGACTGCTGTGTGGTCTGAACGTAGTTACTCCCCCCCTGTAAAGGTCTATTATCTACGGCGGGTGGGCGGACTCTTGTCGCCAAGCCGCTGATCACCTGGCGAACTGCTGGTCACTATGACTACTGTGGTCAACATGACTATTATGGGGTCACTAGTCGACTACAGCCGCAGATCAGCGGTCGAGAAAGAAGGAACGAAGATGTTTGTCAAGGAAAGCCATCAGCTCCTTCTGGCTGACTAGTGTGGTCAATTAGCAACTACACAGCTACGGTACGAGAGCGGGACTGGTGTGAACGTACGCCCGGCGTCCATAGCGACGGGCTGCAGCGTGGTGGCCCCGCGTCTCTCACCCGGCGCCCCACGCTGCTGTCATATGCAGTGCAGCCCACTAACTACTCTCGTGTCTTGTACTGCTTATGCTGCCGCGGCGCATCCGACTCCATACTACCAGACAGGGGCAATCCGCATTGCTTAGCGAACAGATCAGGGGTGTTGTGTGCGGCTAGCCTTCCGGCTGAGAGGGAGAGAAAGAGATAAAGAGAGAAAGACACAGAGAGAGAGAGAGACCAGATTAGAAAGAGACCCGCGCACGACGCAGAGAGACCGCCAGAGAGAGAGAGATAGTACCGAGAGAAGCGACAGAGAGACACGACACACAGACGACAGCAAAGGAGAGAGAGCACACGCAGACGAAGCAGAGACCGACGAGCAGCGAGACGAGAGGCGCAGCCACCGCGCCACGCAGAAGAGACCAGAGAGAGAGTAGAGAGACAGAGAGAGAGAGAGAGAGAGAGAGAGAGCAGAGAGAGAGACGACGAGAGAGAGAGAGAGAGAGAAGAGAAAGAGCAGAGAGAGCAGAGAGAGAGAGAGACAGAGAGAGAGAGAGAGAGAGAAGAGAGAGCGAGACAGAGAGAGAAGAGAGAGAGAGC